CTGTTTTATTGTTTTTCAGTGCATATTTTTAGCTTTGAGGCAGGTATACCTGCAGAGCAAATAATACAAAAGAATACGTCCATTATAGTACTGTTTCTGTGCTTTAAAATTATACCACTCTTCTTCCAGATCTGAACATAGTGAGACAAGTACATTGGCAAAATAATTATTTATCACCCTTAAAAGCTTCCTTTAAAATTTCTATCATTCAAATACTGGCTGGGGAAAATGTAAAATACAGACGAGCATATTTTATGCACTTGCTAGTCTAGCTTTTATGCTGATGAGAACTTACTAACACCAGTAAAGGGAATAGCAGTTATCAGCCCTAATTCACAACTGTGATTTTTTTTAGGCCAAACAGATGCCCTTGCAGAATCACAGCCAAGTGTTAATGACAGGCCCAGTCCTTTTTCCACTGTAGTCACTAGTTATTTCGTATGGCTTCAAATGAGACCAGGTTTGCTCCAATGCTCCAAGCCAGCCTGCTGCTCTCAGTGAGACATTCATTGCCATAAGGAGCAGGATAGGGACCTCTAACATCACTCAAAGAAAGGAAAATAAAAAAAAAAGACACTGTACTTTGCCTCAGGCTTTTTTCTTTGATGTATAGGATTCTTCTTTTAAATTATTTTTTCAGTTGATTAAAAATAATGTGAAGCAGACCTTCAACATGAAACTGGCTAAATACACTAAGAGATCTCTTTTAAAAGACATTTAAAATCTCCTCAAAATCTGTTCAGTGAATTTTGCCATCACTTATACCTGTGCAAGAACAGAATAGCTTGGAGCTGCCCCCAGTAGCAGAGGACAGACAAGAAGGGTTGGTGCCCATGTTTAGATATGTGTTCCCAGACCCCATCAGTAGGAGAGTCTGCAAGAGAGCTGAATGGGCAGGACCCCAGTCAAGAGCTTTATAGTGCAAAAAAAAATCTGTCAGGCAAATCCATACACTTGTCTTTAAAAGGATTCAGGGTAAGAAAATTTAAGCCCAGGTATAAACACGTGCAAACTGATGTTTATTTTTTCTATCTATGCACTTGAAATGAACACTGAAAGGGCAAAACCATCCTAATCCTATCATGGCAATGTCTTTCTCTGCTTCCTAAAGCTTAGATTATCATCTCATTGGTTGTCACACAGCTCCTGCGAGCAGGAATTCACTTGATTTTCCTGTGTAATCACAGCACAGGATTTTATTTCTGTTGTTACTGGAACAGAAAATGCACATAGCCTCTTCTCTCTCTTGCCCCTTTTAAGTTACTTACAGACCTGGATGTGGTAAGCTCCAAAACACCTCAACTCCACTAAGAAAGCTAAAGCTGTGCTTACTGTAAGTTTTAAGCAACCTGCTTGTTAGCAGCTCTTCTCAACAATGGCAGGAAAACTTCCAGTTTTAAATTTCTATTCAAATTGAGGCAATGAAGACTGAAGACCACAAAACTGTGCCATTGCTTTCCAGCACATAAAATTAACAATTTGTGCTGCTGCGTGCAACTTTCAGTCAAAGTTTGTCTGATTTATAAACAAGCAGATGGTTCACACGATAGTCCACAATAAATTACAACAGTTAGAAAGACAGCTACATTTTGAGAGTGACAGTACAGCTGAGCTACAGATGGGTTTATAGATGACCCTTCCAATTTTTAATAATCTCCATAATTTATGTGCAAGTAAAGAAATGCAAGGATTCCTAATGCACCTTCTTGACTAAGTACAAATCACTTTTATTTACACAGGCAATGCTTCATGGTCCAGTTAACTTCTTAATTAAAGGCAGCAAGATGCTCATGTTCCATGCAAGTGGCATGGAAAATACTGTTTAGTGTGCAATATGTTCAGCTGGGAGTTTAAGATGCTCTGATCACTCCTGGAAAATGCATCTATCTCATTTCTTTGAAACAAGACTACAAGGGTGCAAACACTGCTATCACCAGTTACTATTCATTAATCTCCAGATAAACTTTAGGCTCATACAGTAACAAGGTTATTTTTATTTGCAAGCTCTGGTGCTTAGAAATAGGCTTCTAACCCAGGAGACACTACAGAGTATTACTGAGCCAGAAAACAACAGGAACAGAGACTCTTGTTACATGAAGAGAGAGGGATTTGGGGGGCCACTCTTGAATGGGCGATGGAAAAGGAACGTGAACCTGGAGGGTGTCATTCCCGAGACAGGAGGCAGCAGTGATGCAGAAACAAACAGGCTGGAAGCAGCTTTAAGAAGCCAGTTCAAGTCAGTGATTTTACTGGCCGCTTCTCCCACACGGGACTGAACCACTTCAGTCTAATCCTTTTGCTAACATTTTTGAAAGGACTCCCAGAAAGATGCCTTTGTTGGGTTGCCATCAATTGCATGCCACAGTACAACAGATTCGGTTCTTCTTGGTTGCAGTTTCAGTTGCAATGAGTTACCCTCCGAAAGGAGCACAGCTAAATTCAACTACTCTGTTCGGAAGGTGATGGAGGAGGCAGTACCTACTAGAGCTCGTTAAAACACAAGGCACAGCTCCTAGGAAAGCAAGTCTGTGTGTACTTTTAATTACCACCTTCCTGGGACTTAAGAGATGCAGCAGAGAAGAGGTACCAGTGACAATTTCAGGCTTTCCAGAATTATCACAATTCATGTTTTGGAGATATTTTGGCAGGGATTGCCCAGCTCTGCCTGCAGCAGGGCAGCAGGGCGGCGTGGGAAGCAGCACTGCAGAGACACAAGAGCGGGAAAACCCACTCCATGGAGGTCATGGGACTGCAGCCACTCACACAAAAATCGATTCTTCCCCTGCCATTTCCACCCAGCACCAACGCTCCTTCATCTACTACACGGAACGATAATGAAATTAATTTTTTTAAAAAAATGAAAGTCTTCTACAAATGACCAGCATCTGAAAGTCTTTTGAACTTTATATAAAACCCATTATCTATTACTGTACACAACTCTTAGGTTGTTTAATTAAACATATGAAAAATATTATATGTCAGCTTATTTCTGGGATGTTCTTTACTGTTATTTGTCATATTGTTTCTGTTACACTTTGCATATTTAGAGCTGCATTATGCACTTCTGAAAACCCAGAGAAGATTACTATGGAATTAGTGTGGATGTTCATCTGTACTACTGAGTGCTGAGTTTGCACTTTATTCTAGCAATATTCATCAAGTTCAGGAATTGCTGGTACACTTCCTGCCAAGAGAATTCTGGGTCATACTACTGTTCTTTAAAAAAATAGTGTTCGTTATTTAATAATATTTTTAAATATTCCGTAACTATCATCCTTTGATTGATTGCAACTCTTTCATTTGCTTACAAGAGGCCAAATTCATGCATAGCACAAGAAAGGAGGAGTTGATTGAAATCAATAGTATTGCCCCTGTTGTCCACAGCCCAACAGTAATTCCAGCATTATTGTGAGCAACCTGAAAGCCAGCACAGGCTATTCCAGTTTAACTCCACTGAGAAGCCAGAGAAAATACATATACATGGTTTATATAACTATATAGTTAATATAGTGTCCAGAATCTGTGGAAGCCAGCAGGGATGCTCCAACTAACTAGGCTGTAGATCAGACCTTCTGGCTTGCAACTAGATCCTTCTCTGGCTAACAGCAAAAATAATCCTGGAGGTGGGATAGTGAAAGGAACACATACAAAGGCCTTACTTTATATTTCTTGTTCCTTGCATTCATTACACTGTCAATAGTGTGGAAACCAGTTTCATAACCTCAAGAAGGGGACACCTTTGTCCCCCCTGGCATGTTAAAATGTAGATCAATATGATAATATGTAAACAGTAAACTCCCCACTAGCAAGAAGTCATTCGCAGTTCTCTTAGTAATCAAATATTATTTCCAGTAATCTAACTAGAGAAAAAGAAATGTAAGCAGCAATTTGTCATTCTATTTATCAAACTGAGTGCTGTACCTTTTCCACACATTTTCCGTTACAAGTGTATGATGTGTAAGGTTCTGCAGTTCTGTTTTAATTCAGGGACGAAAACATTTATAGATATGAACGTTTTCTCATTAACTTTTCTTCCTAAATGATTATGCTTGTTCAAATCAATTCCTAGCCATCGTACAGAGGTTACAACCTTCAATTATTAAATCGGATATTGTATTGGATGTTGTGTTGATTATGCTACAAGTTCCAATTTCTACAAGACCACTGAAATGCTGAAATAAAGGGATGTTAACTTTATTTAATTAGCTATCTGCCATTGTTATCAAAATGGAAGGTTTGTATCTGACTCAAATTAACACTTTGGATCAGGAAACAGGATAGATGACATCTTCTCAGAAGAATCCTGGAAACTCTTTATAATTGTTTCAGTTATTTTAAAGCTGCTCAGGACAAACAAGATTGCATTAGAAAGAGCAAAAAGTCACTGACAGTCAATGAAGTGCTGCTATGAAAATGCTATTTCAATCACACTTGGCTTCTTTCTCATTTTCAGTTGTTAACATCCTTGCCACTTTTGTCAAGCAGTCTCTCTTAGCAGCATTGAATTTTAACTGCACATAATTTTAAAACACAACGTGAAATAGGACTGAGCACATAATATGGGTTTATTGTGCCAGCTAACAACAGGTCAGGCCCTTGTGCCAAGGCATCACCTCTCTGCTCTCTGCAGAAAAGGAGTAACTGGTTAAACATGAGCTGGATTTCACAACTGCCTGCCATCCTTCTACCTCGGAAGCATTAGGTATCTCACTTGAGGGTTGTTTATGGTTTATCTCAAAAGGAGACAAAAAGACAATGTGAATTCTCAGAGATTCTGGAGGCATTTTAACTACAAACTAAACCCATGCGTATCGACCTTGCAAATGCCCAGAGGATACAGTATCCAGATGAGGTACCCAAAGGACACCCACTGTCTCCCCAAACTACATTTGTATAGAGTAGCCAGTGTAAGTTATCTGATAACCGCACCACCCTGACACTCCATGGTTTCTTACAGTTAGGGCTGCAGAAACTTGTTTATTCCTTCCCCAACAACTTACTGGTCTTGACCGGATTTCTTTGGCGTAGAGAGGTTTCAAGAATTCTGAATCTCCTTCGAGCTTTAGACCCTTTTCCGTGATTCTCAGGTTCCCCATTCCATCCTAAAACACAGACAAAAAGAAACAACCCCATTAGTTACAATTACTAAATTCACAATGCTGCCAATCAGTGATTTTTTTTCCTCCATCAAGGAGAACATGTAAAGCACTGGGAGGCACTAGAGAATGCAATTACTCATGTTATCCTTTTAGCTCTGTTTCTGTGAAAAAAATTTCTATTCAGAGCAATCTGCAATGCCCCCCAGTAAACCATTTACACAGATGAAAGATGTTCTTTTAAGCTAGTCATCTCTACTCAAAGAGACGCAGCAATGCTCTGTGTTAACAGGAAACTATTCACTGTAATATTCACCGGCTGCCTGTATATTAATATACCTTCTCATTCATAGCAAATCCATATAAAGACTATGTGATTAATTCTACTGAACTCCATATAGAGAATATGTGATTAATTCCACTGAACCGACAAAATAAGGCTTGGCTGTGTAGGAGTATTGCAATAAAATGTGATAGGGAACTTGACCCCTGTTATTTGGGGAAATCTCTGCAAAATGTGGACTCCTTGGTGGGGTTTCTTTAGGGCTATCAGCCCTCACAGCAAAAAGATGTGGAAACCTGGTGATTAGTTTCAAGTCACACAGTCTTTCCTCTGCTTTCAATATTGTTAAGATGCTAAACAACTTTACCGGAATATACATTTATGCAAATATTTGCTCTGGGAGAAGTAACCACACAACAGGGATATCTTTCCAACAGACTGCTCTCCTGCCTTGGGCTCACTCCTGACTTTTGTCTCCCACCATGATCAGGTCAGGATTGGAGCCCTCGCTCTTTTCCTTGCACAGCCCAGGCACATTCCAGCAATCTGAACCTCTATATCCAAATGTTTGGATCTCCTGAGTCATTCTCCTGCCCTTCAAACAACCATTGCAAAGTCCACTGGCCAGGCATTAAGTGACTGATGTAACATGCGTTTCTGTCCTCTCCTCATTTGGATTTCACAGTTGCAGCTCTCAGTCCTTACCCTCTCCCCAGCCCTGCTCCAGGCTCCCCCAGTCCCCACCAATCCCTGCGCTTCAATAACAAAAATCTTCTTGACAAATGGTATGAAGTGTTGGCTGCAGGCCTCCAGCGGATGACTGCAAATAGTCCATTTTCTTTAGAAATTGTTTAGTTATGTGTGTCCAAGATGTAATGAAACATCTGACAAAACATAATAGCAAACAAAATATATGTCAAAATTTTATATGAGTTTTTCTTATGGTTTTTATGCCATAAGACAGGTATACGGATACAATGGCACAGAGCAGAATTGGACCAAACTATATTTCACCTTTAACTTGTGAAAGTCGTAACTTTTACTAAGATGAGAGATTTAGGTTCATTTAGGCTATAACTGCTTAGAAAGGTGTGTGTTTGCATAAGAAACATGGTGTGGGGAGGGAATTACAAAGGTAAATCTATAATCTAAAAACATCAAATGCATGCTATTATTTCTAAGATTCAGGGTGATTGTCAAAGTCTGCAAGGATTGGGGTAAGTTGGGGTTTTTTTCCTGAGAAAAAGATGGTCTGAAGAATACCTTTTAGCATAAATTTGACTGACATCACTAGGATTTGAGACTGATGCTAGCAATAGCTATGTCTCCACATGTATAACTCAAGATAGGGAAATGACCAAGAGTTGGGTAGTCAAGAACAGGCATGACAATCCTCAAAAATACCCCTTAAGGATTCTTTCCACCTGTTTGGGTTTTTTTTTCCCCATTTCTTCAGGCTAGAGAAGGAGGATGATGATGCTATATGATGCCTCGGGCCTCCAAGATAAGGCAGGATACAATCACCACAAGAGCTACAATAGCTGGAGCTTGGCGTGGGGAGGACATTGCAATGAGGGACACACACATCAGCACTCAGAACAACAGGATTCATGTTACAGTGAGAGAGATGTTGAAACCAAGGGTCATGCAGGCCACAGGACAGCAGGAGCAGTAATTTGGGTGAATTACTGATCTATAAATAGGGACATGCCATACTGATTCCATGGCATCTCATCATGCAATTTAGGGACTCACTGAGGGAGACTGGGCTGCCGCGTTCTCAATTGCTGCTAGGCACGTCCTTAAACACTGAGGTCCAAATCAAAAGAGCCATGTCAGCACATAACTCACCTAACAGCACCTAACCTAACAGGGATTTTAGAGGAAAGGGGTATGTACTTGGGTAGAAGTCCTGTGAAGATCAAGAGAGAGAAGACCGGGAAAATCCAGGAAAATCATGCGCATTTAGATATACGTCCTCATGTTTTCTAATCCAGCTGCAAAAAACAAACCACATCTGTCTGCTCTCTCTTCCTCCCATTGTGTGCGCACCTCCAGCACTGCAAGAGGAATCACTGTCACTAAAGGTGAATGGCTAACCATAAAAGATTTGAACGAACTATTGCCAAAAGGCATGAATTTGGAGGGATAAAAATCAAGGACATAGCACGGCTCAGCACTGCCACTGGTCACTTGCCAGAGGTTCTCCTGTTCCAAGAAGTATTGCTCCCAGGGTGTACCCTGCCAAGTAAAGATCATTTTTGCCAGAGCGTGGTGTCTTACGAACAAAGGCAGGCTCGGGACTACTGGGCAATAAAATGACTGCTGTCATCTCATTTTGAAATGAAAGCTGTAAGTAAACTTTAAATAGAGATATATGCTGAAAATGCTATTGATTGTTGAAGGGAGGGGAATGAGAGATGGGTCATAAAGTGCCACTTGCTACATTCCTTGTCCCAGGTGTAAAATACTGGTTTATGAATTCTGGGTTGGTGGTGGCACAGAAGGGGTTCATTTATCTCAGGCAAAAGGATGAAGGAAAATGAGTGAAATATGATTATGCTCCAAAGAGTCCAGATTAAATTTTGATAGTGGTATGCTTTGCAATTTGAGTGAGCAGGAACTATTACAGCTATCTGCAGATCCTCACACATTTTGTGCTGCTAAAAAACTCTACATTTTTTTCCCTAAAATAGACATTTCAGTAAGGTTACAAGCCCTGAGGGCTTTCACATTGCAGGCTCTTCTCTAGTTTCATTAAGAAAAGTTGTAGGTTATGCAAGCTGGTATGTGCCACATACAGCTGCAAGACTGACCACCTCTGTGCATACACAATCCTGACCACTTCCAGAGATCGCTCCTGAGCTGAGTGGGGCAATACGTTACCAGTAACATGGACCAATGGATAAAGGGACTTGTCAAGTCAACACTGAAGCTGCGGCAAACCAGCAATTTCCATGGCTCACAAATATATTCTGTTCCGAGTAGTGATTCAGATCCAGCAATCCACTCTGCTCTTCTCTTGTGAGTTTCTCTTCCTTCCTCTCCTTCGCCCTCTGTCTCCCAAGTGTCCCCCACAGGATTTTTAGATATGAAAAACACACATATGGGACATTTAGCTCACACCTAGCAGGTCCTATACATGTCAAAAGAGGTATCAGGCCTATGGGACTATTACAACCAAACCATGAAGAACACATTTGATTTATATCATTTTATGCAGGTGTATTCTCTTACAAAACCACTGGGTTGGAGAAAAAGAGGCACTTCCCCATGTATTCTTCTCAACCTTTGATTCTTCCCAACCTTGGATGCCCACTCACCGTTCTCTCCTCCTGCAGCTGACAAAACTAATAAAAGCTGCACCCACCAGACATTATCTCTTGACTTCTCTGGTCGTTGGGATAGGGATGCAATGCTCAGCACTGACTCTTACCACAATTAACTCTCTGCTGTTCATGTTTCTCATGATTAAAAATGACAGTTTTTTGTAGTAACAGTCTGGGTCAGCAGGTCAAAAAAACAAGCAAAGGTTGTAATCTGAATTTAAAGTTAACGAGTATCCTGGCCTCTTATAGTACAATCATTAAATCATATTTATTATTATTTCCCATTAGAAAAAATATAAGCAGCTTGCAGAATTATGTAGAGATCCCAAAATACAGATACATTAAAGAGAAATCATTGTATGAAAGACTACCTCGGATGTTGTTTTGGATAAGGCATCTTCATCCTCCCTGAATTACATGGTTTAATAACAAATAAATGTCATACCCTGCTACAGTGAATATATATGAAAGTTCTTATGAAATTTCACGGACCATGACCTATAAAATGTAGCCAAAAGCTGGCCAGAGTGACAGAGACCATGAGATTTTATTAAACATTGTATCTGTGATTGGTATATATCCTTATCTGCCACTCTATTGCTTGTGAATAAGGAAAAAAAAAAACCCAAGTATTGATTATTTGATACACTGACATCTGACAATCTTTGTTTCTCCTCTGTTTATCAGTAGACTCCTCAGCAGAGAGCGAATGACTTTATTGTGGAGGCACAAACCACTTTGTGAGAGCTTCCAGGAGGAAAGCCCCAAACAGGAGGCACAGAGTCGGGAACTTTCCATTACCACCTGCTTTGAATTGTTTGGCTTTTTGGTAAGGCATGGTGAAAACTTTCACATCAATTTTATCATCTGTGCCACCTCTCTTTTTATACAATGCCTTGTAATGTGCAGCCATAAAAATTTATGTGCTGTTGCTGACTGCTCTGTGTTGAAAAGGGAGAGGCGATGGTAAAATCCTGAATAACGTAAATGTCATTTCAGTGACGCTGAATGAGAAAGAATTTTTTTATTATTATTAGCTTGAGAAGGAACTCAGTTTAACAACCAATTACAAATGATGGTGTTAAGTGTCAGGGGAAGAGCCCAGCATTGCTGCTATGGGATCACCAGGCTCCTCTCTGCCTTGTGGTCAGCACCATGGCTACACATGTGGGTAAAGCCTAGGGTTTTTTTGTTTTCCTTTTTAACAGTTGCGGGTTGCTTTAATTTTTTATTTTTTTTTAATTGTATGGCTTGTAGCAGGGAGATTCAGTTAGCAGGAAAAGAAAAAAACAGCCAACCCAACCAGAGACACGTAATTGCTGTGGTGAATACCTGGAAGAGGCATTAGCCGCACCAATCCAGACGGCTCGCACACAGGAACGGGGTAATTTTCA